TGTCAACCATGTTCCTTCAAGGTTTTTCTTCTTTTTTAGGAACTCAGAAACTCGAGAGTGTTGCGCTCAGCAAGATGAATTTTGAATCTTTTTTGCGAAATCTTCTTCTGATTCGTCAGTACAGGGCTGAAGTATATAAAAATAAGGCAGGAAATAAATCCATCAAAGAGACTGAATGGTATTTGGCCTACAAGGTACGTGATCATTGTGTTCAGAAATATATATTATTCTGTATATAGATCTGTAAGTACTTTTCAGTCTTTCACTGGCAATTAAATTTAAAACTTGTGCAATTGCAGATGTTTCTATTAGGGCAGCTCAGTCTAATGTTATATTATATAGATCTGGTGAAATAAAACTCCTGTGGATTACATCTATAGGTTGCCAGCTTGAGGAAAATTGCACTAAGGGAATGTTCAATTATTTAATTGCTAGAGGTACTTTTTTACGTGTTGGCAATGTTATTTCAGAATATTATTCCAAATAAAAATAATAAACTACTCCAAATAAAATAATATTTATTCATGCATTCTATTTAACACATGGCAAAGAAGCCAGATTAAAAAAAATCAATTGCATAGCTTTTTTGTTGTGTTGAAAATTATTTGTATAAAGAGCTAGCTATTTGTTCATGAGACCCACCCTTCAGCAACCTTAAGAAGAGACTGGACAGCCATTTGTCTGAAATGGTGTAGGGTTTCCTGCCTGAGCAGGGGGTTGGACTAGATGACCTCCAAGGTCCCTTCCAACTTTATTATTATTATTATTATTATTATTATTATTATTATTATTATTATTATTATTATTATTATTATTATTATTATTATTATTATTATTATTATAATATTATCAGGTTCAGCCCAAATATAGGTTTATGAGAACCAAGCTTGGAATATTGCTATACTTATTTATTTAATGGCATAAAAATGTGCTGTTAATATTGTAATGCAATAAAATAGTAGTAAAATCAAAATATGTTTAAAGCAGTCAAGAGTAATATTAAAACAATTTAAAAATCTACAATTTGATCTTATTGCATAATAAAACAATAGCCCTGGAACTTACTCAATAATTCTCAGAAAAATTTCCTATTGGGATGCTCCTAGAAAAGGGGCCTATTTTGTATACCCATTTGTCTAAGTTCACTTTATTACTCTAAGATGTGCAGCATGAAAGATTCTCTGTTGAGGAACATAGATTTCTCCAACCCCGGTTCCCTATAGATGTGTTGGATGTAATACCCATAATTCATTGGATATACTAAATAAAGGTTATGGAAGTTATCTAATACATCTAGAAACACTAAATTAGAAATTTGGAACAGGTTCTGGATTTCAAGTTATTTTTCTAGTTCTTGGCTGTACAAAGCATCTAAGTTCCAATCTAGATACTTCATTATGAAATGTAATATGAATAACTGATAGAGTCAGGAGTTTATTATGCTGGTGAAAAATCAAGCTGTTTGCTTTTATCTATAAGATTAACTGGCCTAAGGAGATGGAAGTCTGTATGGAAATCAGTTCATGGGAAGTAGTTAATAACATTGGCCAAAAAAACATGCCTGATTAATTTTTAGTTTGTTTTTTCTGCATGTCTAAGAATTCAGGCGCTGTATATAAATATTTATAATTGTATATTTTATTTCATCAGAATCATAAATAAGGAACCTGAAACCTTGTAAATATTCCACATATACTATCCCATAATGTTATCTTATGGTGTGACTCATTGGGTTGATCGGTATTTCTTAGCTGAGCCAAAAACTTACAGCCCAAATTCTGACTGCTAATTGAATGGTGAAAATTAGAAAAAAATGAGCAATTTTACTCATATTCAGCCCATTACTCCATTCTTTCCTAAGAGGAAATAAATTGATAACATTCTGGCTTTATCAGAGTCCGCAAGTAGCAGCTGAAGGACTCTTCTAACAATTACGTTTTTTCCCTGTAGGAAAGAAATGGGGAGATATTGGCCACAACTGATACTGTGTTTCCCCGAAAATAAGACCTATCCCGAAAATATGCCCTAACATGATTTTGGGGGGTGGGCCTAATATAAAGTCTACCCCCAAAATAAGCCCCAGCTATAGTGGGATTGTCAGCCAGATGAGGGGTGTGGCCAGCTGACGTCGCTTGCCCCTGTGTGGGGAGGAAGATTTCTTCACCTGCACTTACCTTTTCTCCCCAAGTAATTGCCGCTTGGCTCTTTAAGGGACTGCAGAAGGGGCTGAAAGGGAAGAAATTGCCTCCTCAGCCGTCCAATCTTCCCTAGATTGATTTCAGTAGCTGCAGCCANTGCCTGCCTGCAGGGCCACTCACCGCCTCCAGGGCCTGCCACAGATTGCCCAGGCAGCCCAGCAGCGCTATGGCAGTCATGCCCTCTGCCCGCATCCTGCAGCATCCACTGTGCATGATGGGGTGTGAGGGCAGAGTCTTGTCTATGCTGCCTGGCTGCCATGTCCTTGGCTGCGCTGCTCCACGTGGGCCATGCTCAGGGGCGACTCTCCTTCAGGGGGGCTGCTGGAAAGGAGGGGGTCACGGGGGGAGGTGAGGCTGGGGCAACGGCACGTGTGCCCAAAGAGAGGGCTCCGAGTGCCGCCTCTGGCACCCGTGCCATAGATTCGCCACCACTGGTCTAAACTATGCTTTTCATATATAATATAACCTTATATTTTTCCACTATTGCTCCATCTTTTTTCCCTTTTTAGATTAGATCAATTAAAGACAAACAAAAAGTAACTATACAGAATAATATTTTGACTAGAAAGGCTAGGCTGGAAGCCAATTGTTTAGGAGTCCTTGTACTTTCAACTATAGGGACTTCATATTCTAAAAGCTTCTAGTCAGATTTCATTATTTATGGAAAATGAATCAGTTTCCCCACACAGTGGATTTAATATAAACACAGAATAAAATAAGGCTGTATGAAAAGGGACAAAATCAAGTTTCTGTATCAGCCCGTTCGACTATCTCAAATCAAATTTATTTATTAGGTTACCCCACCTTTTTTTTGTACAACTTAGTTTGGGAAGTCAGTGGCTTGTTTTTCCCACAACAGCCCTCTTAGGCTGAGAGAGAGGGTCTGAATCAAAGATACTGGTACTTAGCTGACTTCTGTGCCTAAGGGAGGATGTGAACACCTGGTCTCATGGCTTCTAATCCAGCACTTTAAGCAGAACAGCCTTTTTACAGTCAATATTCTCATCTATGTCTAAGTCTTTCTTAGTTCCATATCAGATGAAACTTTTGTTGACTTTTGCATATCAAACTTTTATCAAAGAAAGAGTAAAACAGAATGTATGTGTGTTGTCCCCAAAACTGGGTCTTAGCTTGGTGTCAAGCCAATTGATCACCAAACACAAGGTGTGAAACAAAACAAGACTTTTATTTTAGTATCAAGATATAAAGGGCCTTGGCTTTGAAAGCTACCAAGACCCTGATTACAGCTTTACAGCAGTTTTTATAATCAAAGGTGATTCACATACACCCTTTGCCGGCAATACACCCCTTTACCCTCCCCCCTGTTATATGCATAACATATAATATTGATTGGTTACCTGGATTGCAGCCCCCCTAAAGCTTTCTCGCTTGCTATGCAAAATAGCTAAATGTCACGTCACCTGTTGCCCATCTCAGGTCATGGGAATCTTGCAAAGCTTCTAGTTTCCTGTTCCAGCTATGTGGGTTAAGTGGTTTCTGATGGGTGAATCTGTCTTGCTTCATTGCCCCTGCAACCCCCCCACCCCAGCTCCCCTTACAATGCTATCAGGTATGTCAACAGTTAGCAAGCTTGGACTGCAAATCCCCTAGTGAGCAGAAAGGAAAAGTTTTTTAATTGTCTAAGTGAATGTTTCTCTCACAATTCATCTTCCTCACTCTCATGTCCATTACACCCACACCTGAGTCCTATCTCTACATATGATCCTTCTTCTGATCCACAGGGCCTCATCTGCACATATATTCTTTCATTTAATCCTTCATTCTCCATCTGTACGTATATTCTTTCATCTGGCCCTTCATATGTTCTTTCTGGATATTTGGCATTCCTTCAGATAAAAATTTTAGTGCATTGGGAATATTTCAAATAATACTAAACACTGCAAAATAAGTATAGAAAAGCCTGCAACACATGTGAAAAATAAAATAAGAACAGTTAACTTGATTAGATTTGTATTGACTGAATAGGGAAACAAGGAATTATAATGATTAGAGAGGAGAAACCTATTCAGGTTTATCCCTAATTAGTTAATTGTTCCTAATGAGTATTATCAGATGCATAGAATAAATGAATAATTAAATTACAAATTAATATATAGTTTAAATTCTAGTTAATTTGAGAGACTGCTTGTCTTCCATAATGTCTCTCATAATGTCAAGCCTGTTCTGTGCATTCCAAAAGATGGCTTGCTTCAGGTCCTGTGAATTAAGCAATACTATCTAGTGCAGGAGTGTCAAACTGCCGGCCTGCAGGCTGGATGCGTCACCAGGAAACTGCGCCCACCCCATTGCCGGCAATGGGAAAAAAGCTCCGATACGTCGTGTGATGTCGCGAGTTTGACATGTCTGATCTAGTGGAACAAAGGAAATAGACCTTTTCTGTTCCAGTTTCTGCCCTTTGGAACAGCATTCCTTCATATGGCCCCATCTTGTCCAACTGAGTTGTAATCTGACATTCTGTAGTGTAATTTAAGTATGTTTAGCAGGGATTGTTTCTGTTTTTACTGTACTTCCCAATCAGAAACAATAGCATTTAATAATTATTTTAACCAAATTGTAACTTCTAATTGTAATTGTCAACCATGTTCCTTCAAGGTTTTTCTTCTTTTTTAGGAACTCAGAAACTCGAGAGTGTTGCGCTCAGCAAGATGAATTTTGAATCTTTTTTGCGAAATCTTCTTCTGATTCGTCAGTACAGGGCTGAAGTATATAAAAATAAGGCAGGAAATAAATCCATCAAAGAGACTGAATGGTATTTGGCCTACAAGGTACG